TACATTTGTTTCCGTTTTTATCCTTTTTATTAACTGTCAATCTCAATCTTGTTTCTTGTTTGATATAGATGATAGACCGAAGTGGGGCAAACTAAGCTACTTTCTCTAAACCCAGGAAGGAATCAGTCAAAATTCACTAGACTTATCCAAGTAAAAATTAATCCAAAAGTAAAAGGCTAGGAAGAGTTATTGTTTGTTGGCAAGATGGTTATTAAACTAAACTAAACGCAGTTCACATCAATCCATGAAAAATTCTGGTAAACTTAGAAAAAGAAACCAATAAGTAAAAAAGGGAAAGTAAGACAAGTAGTACCCAGGAGCGTCCTAGTACTTCACTATAATACCTGTTCTTACTGTCTCCGTCAGTAAACAATTAAACTTTCCGTCGCTATCAGTTTGGCATTGCCCTCCCACCTTGTAACAATTCCGACATTCTTTTGTCACATTTACCTCCAGAGCGATCTCATGAAACAGAGGATTTAGTATCTCAAAATTGAACTTCAAGGCTGAGCACACAATTCATACAAAACAGACAGAGGTTTCTGCAATAGCAAGCAATACAATCACACCACAGAATCCTGTTGAACACAACGATTTTTACCCATCAACAATATAACAACTGGTAAGATTCAATGTTAAATGTTCAAGTAACCTAGAAGTTCTTAGTGTTCTGCTTTTATGAGTAGCCACTTACTCTAGAGGAGTTCTATAAACAGGTGGAAAGCATCCATTCACAATTCGTCATACTAATCTTTACTGATATGGTAATTCTATCTTCTTAGAAATTCATAGGGACTAATTTATTATCATCCAGTGCAGCTTAGCTCTACCTATCTGAAATGTTAGGAAATCGAGTAACGGAAAACATACATTCGAGATAAATAACATAGGATTAAAATCACATCACACAAAGAAACACGATATTTACGTGGTTCGGCATTCCCTGCCTACATCCACGGATGAGAGAAATCCACTATAATTTCTTGAACATAATATACAAGAGTACACAACACCTTAAGCCTGGTACATAAAATAGAGCAGAAACATCCTAGTTTCTAACTACGCTCAACCTAGTACCTAGAGTGAAAACGATCGCAGTTTCTTAGACATTTTCCTCATGGTGTTTTATACCCTACATCAAATATCCTGTGTTCTCTTATTCTCTCATAACCTTGAATTAGTTCTCACTCCTATAAATATAGGTAGTATATGGGATATTCTGTTCCTAATAAGATTCATACTTTAATTCTTAATAGGACTCTTATAATTTTATTCCTATTTAGAATTGTATTCTTTATTAAAGAGTTTTCCTAAAGGCATACAATTTTACATGGGAAAAAAAAAGGAAAATGGGCTACAATATCCCAACATGAAATGCATAGGTTGCAGTCCGGTCCAATCCATTTCAGTGTAAATCCATCCTTCAACAACTTCACATGAGCAAAACTAGTAATTTTTTCATCCCTTTCCTCTAATTAAACAGGTGTAGCATAGGAACTAAGTATTCACGGGAAATTTTACTCCAATTTCAAATCCTCATCCCTAGGGAATAATTCAGTAGACGTATTGCGGGTTGCATACTACAGTTGGAATCACAAGTAACCTCAGATTTTGTGTAATTGACAGAAAACAGATCATTGCACTTATGGAAAAGGACTAGATCAGCACGGTAGGTACTGGAGTTGAGGCAGAAATTATGAAAACTATTTGTGGCCATATTTGTATGATCCGAATTCCAGACAAGATTGAGCACTGAACTGTCAGAATTGCCAATCTGAGACTCGTATAGATGATAGATCATGCTGCTGACTTAGTAAACTGGTTTCTCTCAACCCGGGTAAGGAATCAGTCAAAATCCACTAGACTAATCCTAGTAAAAAGCTAGAGAAAAGTTATTGTTTGGCAATTATGGTATTAAACTAAATGCAGCTCATATGAATGTATGAAAATCAAATAGTAACTTAGAACAAAGAAACCGATATTTTAAAAAAGAAAAAACAGGACATGGATGTAACCGGTTAACAGTCTGGGACGACTGTAATTTGCCATACCTGTTCTTTCTCTTTCTCTTTTCCCAGAACACTTAAAGTTCCCCTGGCTATCTGTTTCACATTGGCCTCCCTCCAAATGACAATCAAAACATTCTTTAGTTACCTTCACTTCCAGTTCGAAAAGAGAAGTAGACAGATTGAAAATCTCAGTACTGTAACGCGTCTTATTGAACAGGAAGCGAATACGTGAACATTGAGGTAGAGAACTAGGCAATTTTTTAAATCTTGAGGGGTAGTAGATTGTTCGTTTTTGTGATGCTGGTTATTCAAAGAAGAGAGATGAAAAACTAAAAACTGGACACACTTTTTCATTAGACAAAAACTGCATATAACATACTTCAACTACTGTTTCAACAACCAGCAGACCACTTTTCCTTAATCTCAGCTAAACCACATAAAAGGCTAACTACTTCATTACAAAAACTGAGCCATTAAACAAAAGATTAACATTAAATTACAATACATCTTAAGCTACTGAAAAGAGAAGCACTCCCATGCAGTCCATGCAGAGCAAAAACTCTTCCAGGTTTCACATACATTCGGCAACCCACTTCCAGCACAGCATCAACCTTCAACATAGATAAACGAGTCCCTGGAGTTATTGCAGAAAAGAAGGGCGAAATCTGTGGGCTTAGTATGAGTGGGGGGGCATTTGAAAATTGTTTGGTTATTGTGAATTTCAAAAGAGAGAAAAGGAGTAATGGGAAGAGTTAAATTTTTGAAGGATCCGCAGCTAGTAATGGGAAGAGCTAAATTTTTTAAGGATCCGCAGCTACGGTTGTCAAAGGGAAGTAAATATTCTGGGTCATGAAGCGTAACCGTATTATCCTGTAAGATGCTTGAAACATTAAACAATGGTACGTGCTTCCCAAGTTGAATTCTCGGAAATTGTGTCACATTCATCTACTATGCATAACCCACACTGAGGATGCGTCCGATTGGAAAAGGGGAAGCCGATCTTGCCAAGCAAACCACAAGAGAAAGGTGGACATCTTGAATTCCACCTCTTTTCTTCTTGAGCAACGCAAAGAAGTAAAAGATGAAAGATAACAAAGAACACCACACAAGAGGCACGACCCATTGTAAACTTCTCCATTTAGCAACAAAAGCAGCAACAGCTTCCACAACTCTCAACTAGTAATACTGTTAAGAACTCTTTGCTTCACCCCATTTTTATCCAATCATTCTCAGACTGTTTCTTCGCAGTTCTTCTCACTATAGACACGGCAGTTGACTTGGAAATTTCACAGGGAAGACTTGAGAAAAACAGAGTACAGTGCATGAAAAATCAATTTTTATTGGTCGGCCTAAAGACTAATAATTAGTAACTTACAAAAAGAGTTGACGATTGACTTGCTTAAAGTCTTTAAGTCGTCTTCTCCACTGCTTACTTAACGCGTATAGACAAAAGACCAAAAGAAACACAAAATCTACTCTCCATATACAACATAATTACCACAAAATGATTGCCCATCTTGTTCATTACAGAACAAAAGAGAAACTTTGCTAAATGGTCCACAAACTTTGGAGAAGCGAAGCTCTTGGTGGTCATATAACAGAAGTTCAGAAAATGGGGTGAAAAAAGAAAACCGGTTTGACATCTATGAGAAAAACATAAACATATAAGGTAGCTTTTTGGGTTAATTACTTTCCTGATAATCGAAGCAAGGCAGGAACAAATTCTGTAAAGAAAGGGATGTGCAAATCGGGCCATTGTAATCTCTAAATTTAAGAGGTGGTTGTCATTGTGATAAAGAAAATTTTTTCCAGATGAAGTAGGCAATGGCCAATGGGGCAGCAAATGTAAGCACAAGGAAATCTATTGACATTTGAAGAATCTTTATCTGATTTGGAAGAGGTTTTCTTCTCTAACTATGTCTCATAAAGCAGAGGATTTAAATTCAAGTTATCATTGTGATAAGACTATTAATTGAGGACAAACTTGTTTCTTTGAAAAGTCTTTGCAGTTAAAGTAGGTAACGGGGCAGAGAAAAAATGTATGCACAAGGAAATCTGATAGAGACAGAGGATTTAGTATCTCAGAGTTTAATTTCAAGGCTGAACAAATAAGTCATACAAAACAGACAAACAGGTTTCTGCAACAGCAAGCAATACAATCACACCACAGAATCCGGTCGAACACGGCGGTTTTTAACGATCAACAACCACAGAAACTGGTAAGGTTCAATCCCAACTTATCTATTAGCTTAGAATCACTTAGTGTTCTGCTTTTATGAGTAGCTATTTGCTAAGCTTGTGCAGGAACCATGCTAATCTTTTTTGTGTCCTTCAAAGTCTATGAAGTACCTTCGAAAATCGAAAGGACTACTTTGGCACCTAGACCTAGAATTAGTTTTCAAAGAATTGTGAGTTAGCTGGACTCAGATCATAGGACTTTATTCTACTGACAGTATCTAACTGTGTCTAGTCCATTTCTGTACAAATTCATGCTTCGACAACTTCACTTTCTCCAACTGAACAGGTGCAGGCGTGCAGCAACTAAATATTTCCGGGAAACTTTACTCCAATTCACAACCTCATCCCTAGGAACTAATTCAACAGAAGTAACCTCAGATTTTGAGTTAGTGACAGAAAACAAGTCATTGAAGTTATGAAAGAACATGATATCAGCATGAAGGTATCCTTCCCTCTTCTGAACTCTCTTGAACTTTTATAAGTCTAAGAGACCACAGTGGGGCAAACTAAGCTGCTTTCTCCAAACCCAGAAAGGAATCAATCAAAATTCACTAGACTTATCCAAGTAAAAAGCTAGGAAGAGTTATTGTTTTTTGGAAAGATGGTTACTAAACTAAACTAAATGCAGTTCACATCAATGCACTAGAAATGCTAGTAAACTTAGAACAAGAAACCAATAAGCAAAACATGTAAAACATGGAAAGTAAGACAAGTAGTACCCAGGGAACGAGTACTAGCACTTCACTATAATACCTGTTCTTACTGTCACTGAACAATTAAACTTTCCGTCACCATCAGTTTGGCATTGCCCTCCCGCCTTAAAACAATTATGACATTCTTTTGTCACATTTACTTCCAGGGCGAATTCATTAGTTGACAAATTGTAAAATTCAACACTGTGTTGTGTCTTAATCACATGGAAGGGAATAAGTGAACATGATTGAGATATAGAACTTGGCAATTTAGTAGTTGGGAGATAGTATAAAAACAAGTGTTTGGAGTCATTGCAAACCAAACCGGAATTTGTGGGCTTTACATAATGGAGGGGGCATCTGAATATGTTTTGGTTGTAGGGATTTTCAAAAGAGAGAAAAGGAGTGATAGGAAGACTCAAATTTGTTAAGGATCCGCAGCTACTATTGTTGAACTGATTTGGATATTCTTGCTCACGAACCGTGACCATATTATCCTGAGAGATGCTTGAAACATAAAACTGTGGCCCATGACTCCCCAGTTGAATCTTCTGAAACGATTTGTCACAGTCATCCACTATGCATAAGCCACACTCGGGATGCGTTCGATTGGAGAAGGGGAAGCCGATCTCGCCGAGTAAACCACAAGAGAAACTTGGACATTTTTTATTGATTCCCTTTTCTTCTTCAGCCAAGCCAAGAAGTAAAAGACGAAAGACAACAAACAACAAAACACAACACAAACGAGCCATTCTTCCAAACTTCTCTAGCTCTTAACGTTTCTTCATGGTTCTTCTCAATATAGAAGCAGAGTTGCTTCTTCTTCAAAAGTAAAACACGCCAGTTGACTTGGAAATTTCAGCGGGGAAGACTTGAGAAAAACACAAGGAAATAAGCGAAAGTCGGGCATTCGCGGAAAGAATAGACTTACAGTGCATGAAAAACCAATTCTCATTGGTCGGCCAAAGACGAAAGTAATATATCGAATATGTTGATTAATACATCATTTCAGAAACTACTTATGATACGAATGCTTTCTGCCCCAGAGCAATTAAACTTTCCCATTCTATCAGTTAGGCATTGCCCTCCCGCATAGAAACAATCATAACATTCATCCGTTACATTCACTTCAACAGAGAAAAAACCCGTAAACAAATCAGAATATTCAACACTAGTTTGAGTCTTATTCACTCGGAAGTTAATAGGTGAACACCGAAATGGAGGACTTTGAAGATGATCAGTTGGGTTTGAGTAGACGATATACAAGTGCTGGGAGTTATTGCAGCAAAAACTGAAATTTTTTGGGATCGTGTAATTGCGGGGGCATTCGTACAGGGATTGAACGTAGGGCGCATTAAAAGAGAGAAAAGGAGAGACAGGAAGAATCAGTTTTTTCAAAAACACATTGGTTCTGAATTTGAATCATATTATCCTGAGAGATTGCCGAAATATTAAACCAATGGCCCTCCTTCCCCAACTGAATCGTCGGAAATTGTTCAGTGCAGCTGTCTACCATCACCAACCCACATTCAGGATGCGATGTATGGTAGAAGGGGAACCTGACATCGCCCAAGAAACCACAACGGAAACTTGGACATCTTGGATTCATCCTCTCTTCTTCTTCAGCCAAGCAAAGAAGTAAACGATTAAAAAGAACAAGGAAAACATGATAAGCTGCACAAGCCATCAGCCATTACTATCAGGAAATCTTTGTATTACTCGTGTTTTGTAATTCTGTGATTGCTTCTACTCAATCTGCTCGGTAATGTTCATCCCCTCAGAGACGATAGTTGACTTGGAGATTGAGTAGGAAAGACTTGCAGAAAAAAGACAAGAGTTAAAAGCAGTGCAAGTCTAGCTGCACAACAGTAAATCTTTTGATTGTTTGGCCAATAATTCACAAAACATTTCCATCCTGTGAATAGTGAAAGAAAGCTTGACTGTTCACTTATAAAAACTTTGCAGTCAAATTTATGATGATAGCTTCAACTTTTAATTAAAGGGTCCACAAACTTCCGCTAAGATGTGGGAAGTCCTGGGGGCTAAAGTTACAAATGTATGAATTAATCGAATAAACTTCTCTTCTTTTTTAGAAAAGTCCTCAATCTGATAACTCTTATTGCTGGTTATGTGCTTATTTAACCCTGCAGTGCCCATGTGCTGCACTAATTATCAAAGAGAAAAGATAAATTCAACATGTGAGGTCTCTCTAAATTGACAGATTATTGAAAGCATTTGTTAAATTTCCATAAGGCAATTACTCTTCAGCTTTCCTTGCTCAGATAGAATCATAGAAATTTAATTTACACTAAAATCTAACGGTATCCATAAAATTACATTGAAGAGGACAAACAAAAACATATTATTGTGGGATTTCTTAACAATTAATACATCAAAACCTATATGCTCCCTTCCAATATTAGTCTGTATACACCACAAGCTCACTATTATCATCTTTCCATCATATTCTTGATCCCCTTTGTTAGAGTTGTCAACCACTTCAATAATAAGGGGTGAGACAAACGCATTCGAGAGTCGAGCAGGCAAGGGTGTAGGAGGCAACACCCCCAGATCTGTAGGCAGTTTGGGCCTATCCCATGAAAAGCTGTTGTAGGATTTCTCTAAGTAATTAAATTCTTAATTGGGTTTGGACTTAAGAATAGGGATCCTAGTAATATTTTTCTCATTAAACCTAATATACAGACTTATTATTTTATTTTATGAGTGATATAGCAAATCATAAGCAAATACATTCATTATAATGAAAGAGGTGAGGAGATATTTTGATAATATTGACTCTGTTGGACGTAATCCTTTTTTGGGCTAACCAAGGTAAATCGCGTGTGTGCTTTCTTTTTACTGTTTACATTATTTGTGTGTGATTGTTTAGTTGTTTGGTTTCGATTACTCTCTAGATTATTTCACTCTTCACTTTTAATGCCTTTCAGTCTAAGTTCTTCATCAATCAGCAAAGTTAGCATTCAATCGATAATGCAAAGGACAAAAGAAATGAAAATTCTTGGCGATATGATCTTCTTAAAGTCTGAAAACATCATAAACGTAACCAGAAAATAATGTGCATATTATTCATAACAGCAGAGAAACCTTACTAAATGTTCTACAAACTTAAGAAACTTCAGTTTGGGTTATCCTGAGGCCAATCAAAGTTAAATTTGACCCAAAAAAAAAAAAAAAAAATTGTTTAGACTACCAGGTCAGTAATGTTATTGATCTGATACAACCGTTGGATCTAGAGATCAAAAGCTGAAATTTTTATTTAGAAAAAAAAAATAATAATTTTACATACTTATGTAAGATCATTGGGCCATTGAATGGATCCAAAGCTTTGCTCCTTTTATAAAAAGCCCAAGCCTTATTCAAGAATTGATGAACCTTCTTGCAAAATATCTCACCACCAATTATTAAGTACATTTGTTTAAATCCAACACTACCTTCCCTTTAATAATTTTAAACCTGCTTAATTTCAAGAATTACGTGGCATAGCTACTCATATTTGTCACAATAATTTAGAGTTGTTTATAATAATAAATAAATAATTCTCTCCTTCCCCTAAAATTTGGAATCAAAAAATCTTTTATAAAAAAAAATCTAGAATACTACCAGATGCCACGTCACTCATACCACCTACCAATGTATTTACACCACCTATGAATATTTTCTCTCTTTTGAATCCTTATCATTAAATTGATTGGTAGTTATTAATTTAAAATTATATGTTGCAACAATATATTGGTTGATGGTACGGGTGACGTGATACCCTTGTGGTACCATAGATGTTCTCATATTTTATTAGTAAAGTTGATAACTATTTAACTTAATTTATTCACGTGATTATGGGTCACAGTTCTAAATGGATAATGAAATATAAAGCCTGTACCTAGCCCTTGTGGGTACGGGTGGACCACCGAGTCACCTTTTTTTAGCTAGATGTGGTGAAATGTATATGGAGTCATGGGTTTCATGCATGATATAATATACTTTACACCTGAGTTAATGTTACCACATTTCCGTAACTATTTCCAAAAATTCAATATACTGAATTAGTATCATACATATATAATTAAACTGTTATGAATGAATTCTAACAATTCGACGATTATTACTATTTTCATTTTATATGTAACCCTCATTTTCTAGGCAGTCCCATCGAACTCTTGCTTTATTGTTTGATTTTAATATATGGACAATATATTTGGGAAAAAAAAAAATCGGTGATTCCTTTTGCTTTTTGCCTATCAACTATTACTTGATTCAAAGTCTCGTATCTTTATATTGGATAGTTGATAAAGGCAGGGAAGACTTGATAAAGGAAAACCCAAGTTGACTCAAGTCAACTAATTGCTCTCATTAATTAGCCTTATTACATAATTTAAGATAATTAAACCCAAATGAAGAAACATGTACCCAGCAATCGATGTAAGCATGTCCAATAAGAGAAAAAAGTGCAAACATAAAAAGAAGAGCTAGCTTTACCATTACCATTCCCTCACACAATTTTTATTTTATTTTTGGAATAATATTATCCTTACAACTAAATTATACAACCACACATATAATTAAACAAAAATTTTATAAAATTCATATAAAATAACTATTTTGTATTATATTTTTTACTTGGTTATATCTCTTATTGTATAATTCGGTTGGAAGAGTAACATTATTCTTATTTTTAGTCATTTTACAAAAGAAGAAAATCCTTCTCTCTATCAAATCAGTATGTAATATAGGGATTAGATATTTAGATTAAATAATAATTTTATACAATAATCATCTAGAAGCCACTCTTTCTATACCTTCACCAACAAGAATTTCCTCGTGATGTAAGTTTTATTTGATAAATTTTAATCTAACAAAATTATGTTTTTAAGCAAATCTTATAATAATATTAAACATATTATATAAATGGATAGTAATACCCATTTTTTTTTTTAAAGGTACCCGTGGGTATACCCAATCCGCCTACAAATTTAAAAAAAAAAAAAAAAGGGATGAACCAAGCACATGTATTGTTCCTGCAAGACTGCAAGTCCTAAGTATATTAACTTGTAACTGCTTAAAATGCAAGGGTACAAGTGGACTTGCGAATACAATACCTATTTTGCTAGGTCTACCATAGATGTTGTCATCTTTTATTAGTGAAGTTGATAATGAATAATAATAATATAAGTTAACATTATTAGAAGAGTAATACTAGCCTTACAAAGAGACATATAAAGAAGCATACAAAGAGACAAATCTAACCCTTAAAAGAATGGAAAAAGAGAGAGAGAGAAAGAGAGATAATCATGAATTTTAAGGATTGAATTTGTCTCTTTCTATGCCTCTTTGTAAGACTAGTATTACTTTTATTAGAATAACGGAGGATTACTCCCAACCACACACACCCTTATATAATTCACGTACATGATTCTTTCAAAACCACAACAGCTAGCACACGAAGCGGGCACCGCATCACCTTCACAAGAATAATTGTTCTTTTCTATTATCCTCTTATTTAGGGCCACGTTTTGATTTTGGTGGTGTTTGATCCATGTGCACACACCCACCAATTTTTCCTTTTTCGTAAGTATTTCAATCTCGCGAAGTCATCACTTCTTTACTTTATTTTTATATGGAGATGCTACTTTCCTTCTATGCATCAATGTCTTTTTGTTCACACCTTTCTATGCCACCCTGAAAATGTGCTAGATTCTTATATGCTATCCTACTTTCCCGATTGTTATAATAAATATAAAGGAAATAAATATAAAATATGATAGATTGTTGACAGGTATTTGTTAAATTGTCAAACACTATTAATATACACCTTTCATTACATTACATCATACTTATAGTAATGTAGTTTTCTGCTGATCTAGA